GCATGCAATATTTTATTTTATTATAGTATCACTTGAACGGACGACAAATTATAATTAAGCGATATTTAAATTTATTATTCTAATATTCGTAATTTATGAGTGACATCTGTTATTTTTTAATATTAATCATCCTAATCATGAAAATTATTATCAATTTTTCTATTTAAAATTTTGTAATTACTTGTAACATTTCTGTTTTTGTGATTTATTTTATTTTAATTCAAATTATTATTGTTATTATTCTAATATTTGTAATTTATACTCTCGAGATCTATCATATTTTAATGTTAATCATTATAAACACGTAAATTATTATCAATTTTTCTATTTGAAATATTTTAATCACTTGCAACATTTATTTGTATTTTATTTTAATTATGATACCTAATAACAGTAATATTTAATGATAAAATTTTATAAATAGAGAACGTTCATCTTATATCGTCATGATTTGTTACGTGTAATCATTTTCGATCGTAGCAATTAATGTTATAGAACAGTCATTAAGAAGCAACGCGTTCTCTAGCACGTGATTGTCACGCGGGTGTAACATTTACACACACATGCACACATATATATATACGTAGGTCGAAACTGATGTTAAAGCTTACACGCGGAGACACCCAATGAAGGTAAATAGACATAATCGTTCCTATATTACGTGTCACGTAGAAGTTTTACGTGCAAATATGCGATAGAAATTTACTTCCAACAAATCCCACTTGTATCTTTCAAACTATTTTCTTGGTTTTTTGTTTTCTTCGTTTTATTTTATTTTGTTTTTTTGTAAGTATTACAAGCGTGTATCGAGTTTGGCTACAAAAATTCAATTGAAATTTGATTAATCAGCATGATCTGCACGAATTTTCCAAACTATCCACGCGTAAACGTTTCATGCAAATTTTTCTCTTTCTACCCATTACATTTTATATTACAATTTTATAATTTATTATATATATATCTTTATTTTAATTATTTTATTTGTTTTTCAAATCAATGACATTATTTCTTCCCGATCGAAATGAATTTTGAATGTATATACGTGTGTGTGCATGCGCGCGCACATATGTTTTTAAACATACACCCCTACATACGCAGAAGAAAGAACAAAAAAATAACATATGTTTCGGTGAAACGCGATTCCTCTTTCATAATTCATGAGATTTTACATCGGAATATTGGTAGTTAGACGAAATTCAACTCTCGGCATTGACTTTACGCAAATCACCGTATTTCATTGACCCATACGATTCGTGACTATCTTAGAGAACTGTCTGTCTATCTTTTTCTATTGCTTTTCTTTTGTCTAGTATCTCTCATGACAGTTAAAAAATATCGTTTAAGAATGGATATAAATTTAAAATAAAAATTTATCAAACTTCTCGTATGGTTATCACGAGACAATGTTTGTCGAGAAATCAATGGATTAGAATAAATTACATTAAAAAATATAAAACATGAGATAAAGATAACGAGGATTATAAATAACAATATAAAATAAATAAAAAATAAAAAATAAAAAAAAAAATCAAGAAAAATAACTCGAAATCGGAGTCATCATCATCATCTTCATCGTCAGTTGGGAAATGTTACGAGTATGAAATAAGTGAAAAAAAATGTAATAAAAATTTAAATAATAGACTTAAATTAGTTTTATGAATAAAAGAAAGAAGCATAGATGATATCTGATTGATATAAATGTAAGAAAAAAATAGATCGATAGAGATATAAGATATTGAAAGTGTTAAATGTGATGTGTGGCGCGCAAGGACGGTGTTAAAAAGGACAGCCATTTTGCTAGAAAGGAGAGACGGTAAAAGAAGTACAGTAAGTTGTTGATAGGGCGGCGCTAAGATCGCATTGCTTCTCTCTCTCTCTCTCTCTCTCCCACTACTCCCAATTTCCCTCCCTACTCCTCCTGCGGAAAAACTCCAAGAGGATTTCGTAGTTCGCGGTGGATTCTCGTGTCGGTACATGGATGCGCGTGTCTCTCGTTCGTTGCTTCGTGTTACGTCAGAGTGAGTGCCATCATTCTCTCTCTTTCTCTCTCTCTCTCTCTTTCTCTTCTTCTCTTCCTCTTCCTTTTCCTCTTCCTCTTCCTCTTCCTCTTCGCTATTTTTATCATTCATTTTATTTTTTTTTTTTATTAATTTTTCTTATAATTTTTATTTTGTTTTTGGTTTTATTTTTCTTCTTTTATTTCTCCCCCAAATATATATATATATATATTTTTTTTTTCACCAAATTCGAAAATTCTCTATATAGGGTTAGGGGGGGGGGGAAATGGAAGACAAACGATCAACTCGACGCGTCGTTTATTCGAGAATCAATGTTGAACTTTAGCTTGTCACCCTTATTCTTTTAATGATTTATTTCTTTTTTTTTGTTTTGTTTTTTTTTTGTTTTCTTTATTTCATTTTATTTTATTTGATATTATTTTGTTTTATTTTATAGTCCAAAGTCACGTGGCAATTAACTCCTTCGATATTTTATTTCCTCTCGGCATTCTGCATTGCGTTGGATCGAATAATTTATTTTCCAGACAAATTAAACGTTCCTTTTTTATTTATTTATTTTTTTTTTCTTTCTTTTCAGGAAAATTGATTATTATCTTTCGACCCACAACGTTTTTAATCGATTCTTTAATCTACGTTCTGATCAAGGATTTCGTTTAATTGCCTGTTCTTTCTTTCCCTCTTTTTAGTTGTTTTTTTTTTTTTTTTTTTTTTTTTTGTTATTGTGATCGTTGTTGTATGGCTAATGCTTATAAATTATTTCTATTTTTATTTTTTCTCAACTTACATTTTGTGTTAAAACACGTTAATAATTATAATGTGGGAATAATTGTAGAAACGGGGAATTTATTTATTGCAATTGTCGATCTACAAAAAAAAAAAAAAACGGTGAATAAATTTGTATCATTCGTCAATTTTATTTTACTACGCAAATTTTATGCGAATACTTTTCCACAAAAGTATCGTCTATTTTTTTGTGTTTTTATCATTTTTTAATCCCTCATTTTAATTTTATATTAAACAAATTTTCACCTTTTTTTTATTTTTTTTTTACATGAGCCTCATTATCATTTACTTATCTCTTAAATTGTCGTCCATTTTCTTTTTATTTTCATCTTCCGTCTAACCTCATAAAAATTTGTAGAAAACTTACACTAATATATTACAAGGTTCGATTTTAATTAATTAATTAATTTATTTATTTATTTATATTTATCTATCGTCCAAATTTATTTCTTTTAGAATACTACGATAATAACGTACGAAACATCGGGAATAATAAATTAGGTTGATAGTTAAATGACGCATATGATTTACGAGGAAAATCGATTAGAACGAATCGACATATGGTCGAAGTAACGATATCGTTGGAACGAAAATTGAACACGTGTCGCATTAGTTTATTAATATGAAACGTACACTTATGTAAAATGCGATTAGCAATAAAGAAATAAAAAGAAAATAGAAAAATCTCAAGTATAAAATTTAAAATCGTATTAAACGATTGAACGATCAAACGATCAAAGGGAGGGTAAACCATTTCTCGATCAATCATTCTCTCTCTCTCTCTCTCTCTCTCTCTCTCTCTCTCTCTCTCTCAACGTTCTAATGCAATTCTTTCGCGAATACAAAAAAAAAAGAATACAAATCTTCATAAAGATAAAAGAGAGAGAGAGAGAGAAATCTTTTGATTTCACGCATGCGCGAATGATTGCAATTCACGGAAGTTTCGTTTTCGCATTACGCATACGTTAAAGAAGTGATTGCGTTCAGTAGTCAGGAATGTCTCGAGTTTCTGACTCACGTTGCTTGTTATTCATCCCGTCTATGGATGAATAAGAATGAATATCACATTCGTTAATGATTAGAACTTTTTAAACTGACATGAGAAAAATCATATGTGAGAAGATACTTCAAAAACTAAATCTTACAATACATTTAAAACACTTCGTAGTTTCAAACCCAATGACAATTACAATTCAATTTCTTTTCTTCTTCTTTTTATTTTACATTGAATGAATTTAAAAAAAACGTGCATTGAATATAAGAAATTTGTTCTTCATACATCGAAGAAACACGTATATCAAAACATAAACTTATTACAGTTCGTATATAGCTTATTGCGCATAAATTACATAATCGTAATACTACATACGATTCTCTCTAATCTTTATCTCGTTGTTTTAAATCTACCATTCATAAAGAATAACTCACACCCTTGAAATATATCATTTCAATTACGTTACAACAATTTTATCTTGATCGTAAAAACAATGACTAATAAAATAAAAAAATAACGAATAGGAAAAATAACGTTCGTAGGAGTTAGACTAAAATAAAAAAAAAAAAAACATTAAATAAAGACCACACACACACACACACACACACACGAACTACATACATCCATAAAAAATACACGAAAAAGAATTCGTGGAACTGGAAAGGACATTTGGAAAGAGAGGAGTAGTCAGTCGATTGGGATTTCCGTGTTTTCCGAACACGTCAACCCTCCTTCCACCATCCTCCTCTTTCCCCCTCTTTTCTATCAAACATCCTCTTTCTCACACAGATTTTTCCTTGACAAATCAAAAAAGAGTATAAAGGAGAAGGAGAGGGAAAAGTTCGCTAAGGTGCCATGGAGAAAAAGAGAGAGAGAGAGAGAGACATAGTAATGGAGAACAACACGTAGAAAAGAAGGGTGTGTTGGGGAGAGGGGTTAAAATAAGAAAGAGAGAGAGAGAGAGGAAGAGTGGAATAGTGGAATGGCAGGGGGGTGAGAGAAGAAGGTAAAAGAAGAGTAGAGGAAAAAGAAGGGAGTAGTCTACCGAGGTAGTGTGAGAAGAACACATAAGAGTTTAAGAGTAAAAGAGAGAGAGAGAGAGAGAGAGAACGATAGAGGGGTGAATGGAGCCA